TGTGTGTGTGTGTGTGTGTCTGTGTCTGTGTCTGTGGGCGTGCACGTGCACTGGTGGTGTGTACAGTGAGGGGAACAGGAACAGGGAGCCACGCTGAGGTTGGCAGAGCCAAGGACTGGCAGCTGGTGGACTTCCCCAAACACAGTGCCAAGGTGGGGATTCCAGGGGCTGGCCCCACTACAGGGCCTGGGGGCTGGGCTGTGGTCCACAGCTGGGGCTGGGCTGGAACTAGTCCAGGAAGGGGCTAATGATCAACTGCCTGGGGTAGCAGTGGAGCAGAGCCGGGCTGCTTGTCCACAGGCCCCAGCGCAGGAGGAAGTGGGGCAGGAAGCAGGGGCGGTGGTGGCTGGGAGCAGTCAGCTGGGCTGTGGGTCGCCCGCCACTCCTGCCGGGTCAGCCAGTCAGAGCCAGGGCAGACCCTGGGCCACTGTCCTTCAGGTCCTTCAGTCCCTGCAGAGCAGCAGTGGCGACAGGCCGAGAACAGGTACAGGGTGCTTGGGCTGGGCAGCTGTGATTGCCACGCTGAAGCTGGTGTGAGCACAGTCTCTGAGTTTCGTGTTCCTAGATCTCTGGGGAGGTGGGGCTGGGGTGTAGGGAAAGTGGAGGCTGGGCCTGCTGGCAGTACTCATTGGACCACTGAGGCCTCCCTGCAGGGACTCGGAATGCTGACCAGTATCGATTATGCCGTAGGCACTGCGCATCTGTCCTCACTCCTCACGGAACTCTGGGACAGGTCCCCAGGGGCTGCGAAGAGGAGAAGCAGTAACACAGCCAGGGATGAAGGGGCTGTGGGCCAACCTCTGCTGTGCACCCATCCTCAGTCTGTGAGAGGGACCCTGGGCAGGCAGGACAAGTGCTGAGCTCAGTGCTCCTGCCTGGCCAGCCACGTTGAGGTCACCACCCCCATCAGCAAAACCTGGACCAGTGGAGTGACCAAGGGCACCAGCTGATAAATTCAGACAGAGGACAGGTCCCAGGTCCTGACTCCCTAGATAGACCCTCATGTTTCTCAGGATAAGCCCTCCATGAGCCCTGATAGCCCCAAGCCTGTCTGAAGTGGGTGTTATGGACTTTGGGGTTACAAAGCTACAGTAAGGCTGAGATGAGACACAAGATAAAGCAGGTGGGGACTGGGTACCAGGGACTGGCCACAGAGATGTGGTCTTTAGGGCCCATTGGATGGCAGGGGCTACACTCTTGGTTGGAGGCAGGTGTGTCCAAACTGAGGGTAAGCTCTGAGTGTTGGGCTCAGACTGTCTGGTTCCAATCCCTCAGTTTGCCCATCTGTGAAATGGGCTCAGTGGGTGTCTCATCTGCTATAGGAGTTTAGGGCGTCGGCAGGGCGCTGACTTGTCCCAGTGAGGTAACAGATGATGTCACCCCCGACAGTGTCACCCCCCCCACACACACACACCTAGTGATGACACTGTGGCAGGACCACACTCTCTCCAGAAGACGTAGGAGGGCTTGTCCTCATCTCGTGCAGCTACAGGGCCTCTGGGTGTCCCTGGCGTGTAGACCCACTGTTCTCTGCTCCGTCTTCACCCCCGCCCCCCACCTCTGTGCCTTGTCTCCTCTTTTACAACCCTCCCCCCACTCAGCCCACATCACCGCGTACTGCCAGGGAACCAGGAGCCCCGTCCATCCAATCCATGGCCCTCGTGGGCAAGGCTTGCTCATTGGTCAGCGTCCTCCATCTGCGGACAAGGGCTCCTATGGTACTTCAACCCAGGTCTCCCCGAGCAGGGCTGTTGGCCCTGGGGCTCATCTGGATGGCAAGCTGAGCCATGCAGGAGGCCAGAGGACGGGCTGTGTCTGTAGGGCTGCTGACCGCAGCTGGACCTGGCAGCCTCCTCAGGGCCCCACCAGGGCCACTGCGAGGAGATCCAGCCTGCTGTCTCAGGACTCAAAGCATCAGCAGCACCCCCCATCACCCCACCCCCAGGTCTGTCCTGGCTGCTTTGAGACAGCCCTATGGTGGGCACAGACACAGACAAAAATGAGGAGACGGGCAGGAAGAGGGGCACCTGGGGGCATGGGGGTGCTGAACTGCTAGGGCACCTGTCTAGGAGACCTAGGGAATGTGGGGGTCATAGGGGAGTTTAGGGTTCTAGGGAGCCATGGGGGAGTGGAGGCACTGAGTTTCTGGGATACCTGAAGGCATGGGAGGCCATTAAGGGATATGGGGGTCATGGGGACAATAAGCAGCTAGGACATCTGCCTGGGGGTCTTGGATTCCTGGGACGCTGGTAGGGGCAGGGGTGGGGCCGGAGCTCTTAACCAGGACCTCACGGTAAACTGATCCAAGCTGAAGGGAAACAAGGTCAGGAGCCTTCCTGCCCCTGCTCCACGCAGTCCCTCGCACCTGGTCCTGGGTGGACCTCAGCTGGACAGGTCTGAGGTGGAGGAGTCAGGAGCAGTATGGCTAGGTGGGGTGGAGAGCGGGCTGAGGGGACGGGAGGGTCGGAGGAGTAGGAAGGTGCAGCCCCCCTGGGGAATAGGTGCTGCTGGGGACCCCCTGTATCTGACACTCCCCACGTGAAGGTGAGGAAGCAGCCTGGGGGCAGGGAGCAGGGGCTGGGTGAAGGCCTCCCAGAGTCTGAGGGTCCATGAGGAGGACCATCTTCAGTCCCCCTGCCCTGCCTGCTCTCCCCTCCCTCCCCTCTCACAGTGGGGTCACCGACCCCTGTCCCCACCCCTCATGTCTGAGAACATTGCCAAGAGGGTCACTTGCTGTACTGCCCACCCTGAGCCCCTGACTCCTGTCTGAGGCCCCTCATCCTGCAGTGAAGCCCCACCCCCAACACACACACATGGTGGGATGGTCTCTGGGCAGAACAGCGGGGGCTCTGAGGTCAATGACAGCAGCAGGAACAGACGTTGGCGGAGTGAGCTCCGTGTGTCCTTCAGAGACGAGGGGCATGGACACCAATGGTGTGCCTGAGTGTGTAAAAGTGGGTGTGAGTGAATGTGTGTGCAAACATGTGTGAGTGTGAGAGTGTAGCCTCAGAACCTCAGCTCCTCATCTGTGAAGACTGCTGTGGGCTGTGCGGAGACCACTGTAGCTGTATGGGCACCCTCTTTGCCTTGGATCCTCCTTGCCCCAGGATGTGGCTTCGGGGCATTCCGTGGGGCCTGTAGCTGGTACTGTCTGAGGTTTGGGTTCTGGAAGGCTGAGCAAGGACCTGTCCGCATGTGCAAAGGCCCTGGGGCAGAGGGACTCACCAGGAGATGGAACTAAAGGGGCTGCTGAGGGAGAGCAATGACCACCCAGCAGCTGACACTTGGTTTGGTTTGGAAGGCACCAGGCAGTGGGCACTCCCAAGTCCTCCTGTCTCTCTGTCCTCATGCTCCGGGCTCTGCTGGCCATAGTGTGTTGGTCCAGCAGTGGCATGTTAGTTCCAACAACCTCTTTCTGGACCAGCTGGTCTCTGTTCCTCACCTCCCTGTCTTCTCTCCACAGAAGGCCAGTCAGACACACCCAGCCTTCCATGCTGAGACCTCCTGGGGCCATGGAGGATCCAGCAGAAGCAACCCCGTGTCCACCAGACCCTGAGCAGACAGCCCTGCCGGGGAGGGGGCCTGAAGATCCCTTGGACAGAGTCAGTGAAAGCCAGGACCATGGGATCCAGAGTGTGGCCAGATGCACGAACCCTGAGGTGGATGCTGTGGCCAGAGCTGGTGAGTGTGGCATGGGTGTGTCCACCATCCCAGGCCCCCTAGGCTTGCAGGAATAACCGCCCTGAGTTCTTCAGCAGATATGAGGGCCAGCTTGTGTTTTTCCAGGATTGTGTCTGAGGCAACAAAGCAGGCACAGAGTAAGGACAAAGGGCCTGGAAGAATGTTCTGGAAATGTGCCGGGGTGTATTTGTGGCTCTTCTATGAGCCTTTGCATCTATCCGGTCCCGTATCTGCTCTGCTGTGGGGTGACTCAGGACTCAGGGTGGGGTGTTCCTGTCTTCAGGGGCCACCCTAAGGCCCAGAGAGGGAAGGCATGAGGCTGCTTTCTGCTGAGGAGGACAGCAGGGGACCCACATGTCCCTAATTCAATTGTCACTGTGTCCTGAAAGGAAACAGGCTGGAATGGCAAAGGCTCAGAGACCAGCCTGGAGGGGGTGGGGTGTGATGTCAGGGGGTGACCACAGATTGTGCTGCACCCCTCCCCCAGAAGGGACCAGCTCACCTGTGACAGGTGTAATGTTGGCAAGTATAGCTTACAGGGGCCGCTCAGGAGGCCTGGCTCTAACCTGCTCCACCACTCACTTAAGCCTCAGTTTCTCCACTTGTGAACTTGAGTGGTGGTCCAGGTGAACACCAGGGTGCCCCTTCCCCTTCCCTCCGGGGTTGCAGGGAGGGAGGCGGAAGCTCTGTGTGAGCCTGTGCCCACGGCTCCGGTCTTTTCCCACCACCAGCCCCACCCGACCCCCAGTCTAGTTTCGGAGCATTGTAGATGCTCAGTGAAGTCTGCACAGAATGGTACACAAGGCCTCCCCAGCCCCACACAGTCACCCCCGTGTGGGGGCTGTTCCTACACCTGCTATATTGCTACTTACACCTGATATTTTGTGACTTAGGATCCCTGGTGGGTTTGAACCACCAACCTTGTGGTTTGCAGTGCAGTGCTGATCCTACAGTGCCACACTAGGAGTCACTACACAGGGTTCCCTGAACCGGACCTGACGGAATGGCCCTAAACATGCCTTTGAGTCAGTTCTAATTCAACAACCCTGTAAATTGTAGCGGAAATCAGTTCTGACTCACAGCGACCCTGTATAAGGGTTCTGTAAATCTTTATGGGCGCAGAAAGCACTGCCTTTCTCCTGCAGAGGAGTGGCTCGTGGGCTGAAAGCACCGACCCAGTGGTTAGCAGTCCAGTACCTATCCTACTGAGTTCTGACCCATAGCCACCCTGTATAGGGTTTCCGAGGAGCAGCTGGTAGGGTTGCAGTCTAGTGCAGATATGCCCCTATGTGCGTATATGGGAGCATGGTGGCTCCATGGGATAAGCACTGGGATATGAGCCACAAGGTTTGCAGTTCGAGCCCTCCACGACTCTGTGGGAGAAGGATGAGACTTCTTGCTCTTGCAAAAATTTCTAGCTTTGGAAACCTTACACAGGGTTTCTGAATCAAATGGACTCGGTGCACTTAGCAATAATAACACCATATGTAGCTGTAACCGTACCTCTACGTATGGACCTGCACCTGTCTGCACATGTAGATAGTCCCTGGGCCACAGGTTACCTTGAGTCACAGAGTCTGTGGTGGTGACAGGTGTTGCTTACATATTCTTCTTACTTGTTGGGTTTGTTGTGAGCTTGGAGGAAGGGAACGACATGAAATGGTACGTGTGTGCCCACCTCCTCTTTCCCAGGAATACTGGGGGGGTTCAGGGCTTGCATTGGGGGTACCTGCTTGCTCTCAGTGGAATCACCTGTCCCCTAACATTGCAGATGTAGGTGTGGCTCTCCGACCAGGCAGTGTGTGTCCTACTGCAGGGACCCCTCCCAGCCACACGGCACTGTGCCCCACAGGTAGGTCATCCTGGGTTGTCTACTCGGCATGTGGGATTACACTGGGGCCTCCCGGGCTGTGGGAAACTCTCTCCGTAGCCTTCCACTGTCCTATGAACTATAGGGGAAGGCCTGTCTGACCTGGGGGACCCCTAGGGAGGCCCCAATCTACCCCAAACCAAGCCCATTGCTGTCAGATGGGTTCTGACTCACAGCGACCCTACAGGGCACAGAACTGCCCCCAAGTTCTGTAAAATCTTTTCCAAGGCTGTAAAATCTTGGCAGGTGCAGACTGACACATCTTTGTCTCAAGGAGCGGCTGGTGGATTCGAACCTCGCATCTTTCAGTTAGAAGCCCAATGCTTAACCCACTGTGCCACCTGGGCTGCTGCGGGGGCAACCTACTCACCTTAAGCTCCCCATGGGTGTGGGAGGGGCTTGTCAAATGCAAATCCCTGGTCCTAGGGGTGTTGGTCCAGGGCCTGAAGACAGGGACAGCCTGAAGGACTGAGGGACTTGACAAGGGATTCCCATGTAGAAACAGGAGACCCATGAGAAACACCCTGGACAGGGGCTCCTGGGAGGGGTGTGGTCAGACCAGGGAGGGAGGTCTCAGGAGCAGTGTCTGGGCAGGCTGCCCAGTGGAGAGGGCCCGTAGGTGGGGTCTCACATGGGGCTAGGTTGACCACTGACCTCCCTCTGCCCTCTGCAGACCTGACCCTGACGATGCTGGCCGTGCGGAGGAGGAGTGGACGACCGGACCCCAGACTGCAGCAGGCTCTGCGGACACGGCTCCGAATGTTGGAGAATGACACCCAGGAAGTGGCCCGCGTGCTTGGGGTGAGGGGAGCCTGCCGATGGGGGCCTTCCAAGAGGTCAGGCATCTGCATCTGATCTTAGGTTGTTCAGGCGGACCATGGGGACACGCCAAACACCACCTTCCAAATTCTGTCCCTTGCAGCTTGGAAGTGTCTTTTACAGGGAGCAGACAGGCATGGAACCCCTCTCTTTGTTTCCCTGGTTTGAGGGTCAGAAGTTGTGGGTGGAGGGGCTGAGGCGACAGGTCCCGTGGTGGGCAGAGTCCTGGGTTGGGGCTGGCTGGGCCATGATCTCCGATTCTGGAGTCAAGCTGACCTGGCCAGTGTCCTCTCGCACGCTCTGCCCCAGGAGCTGATGTGAGATTATGTGACTAGCTCCCAGCTCATTACCCAGCTGAGCTATAATCCACTCACTGTCTCTCTGACCCTTCAGCTGTGGCATGGAGTTATAATAGCATGCCCCCCTTCATGGGCTGTAAACACGACACCATTAAAACCAGTGGAAATTGAGTGGACCCCAAGTTCTGGTGATCCCATGTATGCCAGAACAGAGTTCTGCTCCACGAGGTGTTCAACTGGTTTTTTGAATGCAGATTGCCAGGACTTTCTTTCAAGTCACCTCAGGGTAGAATGGAACCCCCAACCTTTCAATGAGCAGCTGAGTGCTTTCACAGTGCACCACCAGGGACTCCAGTCACTTAGGTCATCTTCACTTTGGTCATCGCCCTCTAGGAGAGCAGGCCAGCTGGAGTCGAGCTGACTTTGCCGGTGGAGCTGGGGGACAGGGGTGGGGTCATTCAAGGCTGAGAGGACAGCATGGCAGAGGCACCCGTGGTGGCACAAGGGAGGCAGAACAAGAGTATCGAGGCAACACGAGCTCTGGGAAGGAGCATGAGCATTGTCCACTGGCACTGGGGAGCCATGGCTGGCTTTTGAGCAGCGGAGGAGCAGATGTGAGCCGTGAAGGAGTCTGCTCTGCACGTGTATTCCCACAGGGTCATTTGTTTTTTTTAAGTTTTTATTGTGGATTGAGTGAAAGTTTACAGAGTACATCATCAGTTTTACATTCAACAAATCACACAGCTTGTTTCATTATAATGATTATAATCCCCTCCATGTACCAACAGTTACCAGGATTTCTCTCTATTCATTTTAGTGCGCTCTCTCTTTTTTTTTTTTTACACTTAGGCATATATAATAATTTAAACAACCAAAGGGCACATTCTGCAAGTCTGCCTCCTGGCCGCCATCTCTCAGTCCCTCTCTTCCCATGAATCTAGAGTCCTCAGCCGCTCCCCTTCTCCATGCCCCCATCTCTGCCTCCATCTCTGGCGCTGCTGCTTCTCTGGATAAGGTCCCACATTCTACTAGTGCTCTTCTCCCTTGATGGTCCTAGGGTCCTCTGTTTCTGCACTGTAAGATTAACCACTCCCCAGTTTTTGTTACAAAACTTCTACCTTTACAATTGTGACAGTAGCAATTAGTCATGATAACAATTACTCACTATTGAATCATAAGACTCTCAGCCCCATCTCTTTTCACCAGACCCATCTAAACAAGATGAAATCTATTCAGTGGGGACTCTTTTCTTCTCCCACATGCTCTTAAACTAAACTACCCCTTGAAACCTTGTAAGCCAATCACTTTGTGCCTTTATCGCCCCCTCATTGTAGCTAGCTAATGTCTAAGTTGCCCATCCCTATCTACCCTGTGTACAGAGGCGATACTTGATGTGAAGACTCCTTCCCTCTCTGTTGGTATTTAGAGTTACTACCTCCATGAGTATAGGTCAAGTTCATCAAATTGTAGCAATTTATCCTCGTTTTCTTATCAAAATTGTTTTTGTTTTATCTTCCTCCAGTCGAGTTCTGATTATCAAGCCATCGAGGCTAGGTCACATGGGTACTGTCTGCAAGTTTGGGTGTTCTTCCCCAGGGCCATTTTTCCTACTGAGTGACTCTTGGCCTGCTGACCAGATGCTCCAAAGCCTCCGAGGATGCTCCTAATTCCTGTTTCTCTTCCTCAAGGAATTATCGGCCAGGCTGTTGTCCATCCACAGTGACCGAGACCAGATTGTGGTGACGTTTAAGACTTTTGAAGAGATCTGGAAGTTCTCCACTTACCACACTCTTGGTAAAGATTATTTATGCACAAGTGAAGCGGTGCAGAAAGAACGTGTCCCTTGTTCCACGGGAGGGATGGTATGGCCGGCAGAGTGCCGTGGGCATGAGGCTTTGCTACCAGAAAGAGTCACGCTGCCTATGTATGGCATGTCCAAATTCCTTCCATCACTACCCCACGCCATCTTACTTCACCAGAGCCTCAGGGGAAACTGAGCCCCGATTGCCTGAGTGGGGACCAGGGAGCGTGTTACTTTAACTTTGTCCGAGGTCCCGGCTCTGACTGTTACCGTTAGGTGCCCAAAAGTCAATTCTCACTCCATTTAGTGGCATTTATGGAATCTAACTGGGTCTCTGGACATGAAACACACACAGCCGCTTGCAGAAATGTTGGAGGTTTGAGTCCACCCAGAGGTACCTCAGAAGAAAGACCTGGAGATCCATTTCTGAACAATCAACTCTTGAAGCTCCTCTGGCACCCATGGGGTCAACACGAGCCAGGGTTGACCCAGTGGCCACTGGTTTACAATTGCATCCATCGCCTCAGGAATCTATCTCCTTGGTTTAAGTACTAAGCTCTTGGGGAACACGAACCACAGCTGCTGTTTCTTGAGCACCTCTAAAAAGCCATTCTCATCACAGAGAGGAGTCTGAGGTTCCTAGTGGAAGTGATTCATCCCAGTCTAACCCTCTCATGGCATGGCCCAGAAGACAACAGTCTTTTCTGACTCCTTTCCTTCACGTTCTGCACTGCGCGGCGTTTGAACGAATGGCTCCTTTGTTGTTTCAGAACACAGCATCTTGATGCTGACTGCTGGTTAGGAAGTCTCGCTCCCCAGAACAGGGACAAGATGGGAAGGTGATGAAGCTGAGTTCAGATGGTTTGGGTGCCCTATGACAGGCAGACACACCTCTGGGATTTTTATCTTCCTGTCTTTCAACAACCCACACTCCTACCTTTGTATTGAGAACCAGCGTCTCAGTTTCCAGGTGCTGGGATAACAGAGCTACCACAAGGGGGTGGTATTGATGAACAGACATTTTTTTACTCTCAGTTTAAGACACTGGATCACAGGGAAAACTCTCTCAGCTCCAGAGGAAAGTCATTGTCTCAGTTTCTATGTTTTCAACTTTTTGTTGTGAATTGAGTAGAGATTTACACAGCACATCAGCAGTTTTGCATTTAACAAATCACACACTTTGCTTTAGCACACAATTGTAATCTCCTCCAAGTATCAGCAGTGGACAGTATTTACCTCTATTCACTGTAACTGTCACATTCCTGTGGCTCCCGTTACATTCATCTTTCCTCTTGTTTTATATTGCCTGTTCTGTCACCCATGTTAAACATGTGTCTACCTTCTAGCCCAGGGAGCTCTGGTAGCTTAGTGGTTATGAATCGGGCTGCTAACCCCACAGTCAGCAGTTCGAAACACCAGCGATTCTGCGGGAGAAAGATGAGGCTTTCTGCTCCCCGTAAGGATTTACAGCCTCGGAAGCCCTGTGCAGGGTCACTATGAGTCAGAACCAACTCCACGCACGGCACATAACAACAACAACAACAACCCTCTAGCTCGTGGATAATTTTCCTTTTCCTCTCCATGTAACCATCATAAATTGTTCGTTTTTTCAAGATTTTAATTTTTTTTTTAAACTTTTCACAGTCTCAGTCTCTTACAAGGTCAGCAGGCGAAACGTCCCAGCTGCTCCTTAGAAACCCTATATGGGGTCGTTATGAGTCAGAACCGACTCAGTGCACTTAATAATAACATATCTGGATTGAATTCTGGGTGGTGTTGTCATGAACGGTGAGACCAAGTTGTTTATTGGTTTTCTCTAGGGTTCTCTTGCATTCCGTGGAGATCTCCACCCTCGTGTTCCTGCTTTCCTCTGATGTAGCCTCATTAATAGAAGAAGGGAAACCTCATTTCCTAACGGGATTACATCCATACATATCACGTTGTTGGTTGCCATGGAATCAGTTCTGACTCCTTAGCCGGTCCCGCTCCACCCTCACTGTTAAGTCTGAGCCCACTGCTGATGCCACTGTGTCAGTCCATCTTGGGGGTCTTCCTCTTTTTTGCTGAGGCACCACTGTACCAAGTGGCCCCTCCTGATGATGTGTCCAAAGCATTTGAGATGAAGTCTCATCATTCTGACTTCCAAGGGGCCTTCCGGCTGTAGGCAGAGGGCTCAGGATTTACAACACATATTTGGGGACAACATTCATTCTAAAACTCGGAGGTTAGGTGTCTTGTCAAGTCCCAGCTGGCAGCTGGTGGAGCTGAGATTTGAACCTGGGTCATCTAACTCCACTGCCCTGACTTCTAGGCTAAACGTTCTCTAAGCTAGAACCCCAGAGGGAGAGCTAGAGGGTTGTGGGCAAGGAATTGTGTCCTGGGACCTGAGCCATCCAGAGTCTGGCCACTTGGCCCCCAATCACTGTCCATACCCCCTGATGACTTGCTGTCTCCCCTACCCAATCCCCGCCAGGCTTTATACCCCACTGCCTGGAGAACCTGCTGATAGATCAGGCCTTCTGGCTGCAGGCGCCTGAGGATGGGGAGGAGACAGTCCTGGAGGTCTGCCTGGAGGAGGCGGCCCTGAAACAGATTCATGAGAATCTACTCCTGCAAGAAGGTGAGCGGCACCCAGGGGGAAGGGAGGGTGGGACTGAATGGGGGCATGGGGTGCTGGGGGTCCAGGGTACTGACTGACAATGGAGAGGGGACCGAGTGGTCAAGGAGAAGTGGGGGGGGTGTCTTGGAGCAATGCTGACAACAATGTGTTTCAGACACTGCTGGTCCTATTAAAGGCCCTGCTCAGCCCCCAAAGAAACAAGGGTGCCAACCTAACGGCTGGGCTCTGTCTGAGCCCAAAGGGGACGCAAAGGAGAGAGTAGAGGGGGCCCACCCAGCTGCTCTGGGGGCAGCTGGAACAACAGGGATCTTTGGACCCCAGGTCGGACTCCTCACAGCTTAGTCAGATAAGGTGTGCGACTGAGAAGGGACCGCAGGGCAGAACTGAGCTCTATGTGAGCCGGCCTCCAGTTCACGTTCCCTTGGGTCCCCAGGGACAGCTGGTTTCTGTGGGTGTAGAGAGACCGTTTGGTCCCCAGGCACAGCTGGATCCTGTGGGTGTAGAGGGACCGTTGGTTCCCCGGGAACAGCTGGTTTCTGTGGGTGTAGAGAGACCGTTGGGTCCCCGGGCACAGCTGGATCCTGTGGGTGTAGAGGGACCGTTGGTTCCCCGGGAACAGCTGGTTTCTGTGGGTGTAGAGAGACCGTTGGGTCCCCGGGGACAGTTGGATCCTGTGGGTGTAGAGGGACCGTTGGTTCCCTGGGAACAGCTGGATCCTGTGGGTGTAGAGAGACCGTTGGGTCCCCGGGGACAGTTGGATCCTGTGGGTGTAGAGGGACCGTTGGTTCCCTGGGAACAGCTGGATTCTGTGGATATAGACAGGTGATCCCTCCATGCTGGGCTGCCTGGAGTGACCACCTGTCCTTTGGAAGGGTCCTATTTTGTCCTGTGTCCTGACCACCGTGTGAGAGCAGTAACTGGCCCCCGGGGTGCAGAGAGGCGTCCCTATGGAGACGTGGTCTCAGAAGTGGACTCTCCAACACCCAGCCCTGACGCATCTTCCAAGGAACCTCTGGCTCCGTTTCATCAGTAAGTACCAAATTTGGCTCTCCCTCCTGGATCCCAGGTCTTGGGAGGCCTTGTGTGGGCCCTCTGGGGCAGATGAGGTCTCTGCATCACTTTGGACCATTTGACCAGTGCGGTGAGCTGCCTGCTCAGCCGTCCTGGGATGTGCAGAGTGGAACCCTCACATCCCAATCTGGATCATTCTGGAAAGTTCTTGAAGGAACCACATGGGCGCCATAATCGATAGGCACAAAGAAATATTGTCCACCTAGAACTCAAAGGGCCATCGAGTCGATCCCAACTCCTAGTGACCCTAAAACACTGTCAGTCTTTTTCATGAGACAGATTTCTCCAATGGAGCAGTTACCGGGTTTGAACCACCAGCCTTGCAGTGAACAGCCCAACACTTAATTTACAGAGCAAACAGGCACTGTTGTTAGGTATCATCGAGTCAGCTCCGTTCCACATCCCATGTCCTCGTCTGAATCCTGCTTGAACCTCTGGCAGTTTCCTGTCAATATAATGTTGCAGATGTCTCTGAATTATCTTGCACGTGCTATCAGTGATATCGTTTGGTGATTTCTTAATTCTTTTGGGTTGCCTCTCTTTGGGCACAAAGAGGGGTCTCTTCCGATCTGTTGGCCAGCTCTTTTCATTTTTTCCCCCATAGATGAGTTAGCTACTCCAGTGTTTCATTCATTTATTGAGAGATTTCAATTTGTATTCCATCAATTCCTCAAGCCTTGATTTCCACCAATGCCTACAGTGCACCTTGGACTTCTTCCTTCGATACCATTGGCTCTTGATCATACGCTACCTCTTGAAATGCTTGAACATGGACTATTTCTTTTTGGTACAGTGACTTTCTGTATTTCTTCCATCTTCTTTTGATACTTTCTGCATCATTCAGTATTCTGCACATATTTCAAGTCAAGGCATGATTTTTTTCTTCTGTTTTTTTCAGCTTGCAGAATGTTGAGCCGTGTTCTTGCCTTTTGATTTTTTTTAACTCCGAGTCTCTGCACATTTCATAATAATACTTGATGTTGTCCTCTTGAGCTGTCCTTTGAAATTTTCTGTTCGGCTCTTTAACTTCATTTTTTTCATTGGCTTTAGCATTTCTACACTAGAGGGCAAGGTTCAAAGTCTTCTGACAGCCAATTTGGTCTTTCCTATATTTTTAACGATTTTTTTTTTTTTGCTTTCTTCCTGTATGATGCTCTTGATGTCATCTCACAATTCTTCTGGTCTTTAGTCATTAGTGTCTACTGCATCAAATCTCTTTTTGAGATGGTTTCTACATTTAGATGGGATATGGACTTGTTTTCATTTTCTTCAGCTTCAGCCTGAACTTGCGTAAGAACCATCGGTGGTCTGTTCCACACTCTGTCTCTGGCCTTGTTTTGACTGATGAGATGGAGCTTTTCCAAGGTCTCTCGCCACAGACGTTGTCAATTTGATTCCTGTTAGTCCATCTGATGAGCTCCAGGTGCATAGTTTCATTTTACATTGTTTTAAAGACATATTTGCAATGAGGAAGTCATTGGTCTTGCAAAACTCTGTCATGTGATCTCCAACATTGTTTCTATCACTAAGGCCATACTTTCCAACCACTGTTCTTCCCTCTTAGCTTTCAACCTTTGCGTTCTAATAACCAGTAGTCATCAATGCATCTTGATTTCATTTTTGTTGAATTTCACATTGAAGAAGTTGGTAGAATTCTTCAATTTCTTCATCACTGGCCTTAGTGGTTGGTGTCTAAATTTTAATAACAGTGATATTAGCTGGTCTTCCTTGTAGGTGTATGGCTATTATCCTAGCACAGACAGCATTGTACTTTAAGATAGATCTTGAAATGCTCTTTTTGACCTTGAATGTAAAGCCATCTCTTTTCAATTTGTCTTCCTTGCCATAGTAAGCTATACGATTGTCTGATTCAAAATCAATGTCTGTTTCAGCTCACTGATGCCTAGGATTCGATGTTTATGGGTTCCATATCATTTCTGACAACGTCCAGCTTTCCTAGATTCATACTTCGTACGCTCCACGTTCCAGTTGTTAATGGATGTTTATAGCTACTTGTTCTCATTGTGACTTGTGCCCCATCAGCAAATGAAGGTCCTGAAAGCTTTACTCCATTCACATCATTATGGTCAACTCTACTTTGAGGAGGTAGCTCTTCCCCAGTCAGATTTAAATGTTTTCTCTCCTGAAGAGCTCATTCATCTTCCAGCAGTATATCTGCTACTATTCATAAGGTTTTCAGGGCTAAACTTTCATAAGTAATTCACTTCTCCTTCTTCCTAGTCAGTCTTAGTCCGGAAGCTCAGCTGAAACCTGTCCACCACGCATCATCCTGCTGGTATTTAAAATAGCCGTAGCATCACTCCCAGCAGCACAGCAACATACAAGCCAACACAGTAGGACACACGGACAGACAAGTGGTGGAAAAGCATGCTTTGTTGTTGTTGTTAAGTGCCAGGAAGTTAGTTCTGACTCATATCGTATAGGGGTTCTGAAGAGTGGCTGGTGGGTTTGAACTGCTGACCTTGTGATCTTACAGCATCACAACACACCACAACACTTGTTGTTGTTAAATGCCGTTGAGTCGATTCTGACCCATAGTGACCCTGTGTAGGGTTTCCAAGGAGCAGATGGTGAGCTTGAACCACCGACCTTGCCGTTCAAACGGTTTTGCAGTCTGGCGCATTAACTCACAACACTAGCACCGGTAAAACACAGGCTCCTGTTCACTTACTGAGTAGGGAGCATAAACCTGGCTTGGAGCTTCCTGGCAGCCAAAGTGAAAAGAGAAAGCCCACCTGATGACTTAACAGTATCCGTGATATTGATATGAGCTGGGACTCAGCTTCTCTCCCAGCTGAGCATGGAGGAAAGCTCTCCTGTGAGACTTCTCTTGAGTCCTGCATGGAGTGGTCAGCAGGCCCCACAGAGGACAATGAGCGTGATCCTCCTGTGAAGTTTCCCAGAATGTTTGACCAAGAAGGAGGGAAGGGTCACCCACATTCTTGCTCTCCAGGTGAAGGAAATGAGACCTCAAGAGACGAGTGGTTAGTTGAGGCCATTCAACAAGGCGGCAGCAGAACCAGGATTTGAACCCTTTTCTCCAAAGCCCCTATTATGCTGAGTTGCTGCTGGTAGTGGAGAGCTAGATGTTTGGGGATTTCTGTAGGCTCAGGACTACTAGGGGGCCCCCAGGACTTGAGCATGGCCAGCAGGCACCTGGTCTGCACCTGTGGGCAGGTGTAAGAAGCGGAGGTCAGGAGAGGCCGAGGGTCCTTTGTATACTGGGTCCTCTCTGGTCACGGGGGGGGGCTGCTTCCAGTCTCCCTGGCTTCAGTCTGCCCTGAATCTGATGTCCCAGCATCCAAGACTCCCCTTTCTCTCCAGATGGGCTTTGAGGGCCTCCTGGGACCCCGTAGATGACTCTGTGGATGATCCTGTGGAACCTGGCCTCCCCATGACAGGTAAGGGGCAGGAGGAGGGAGGCCTGGTTCATGGAGGATCTGCTTGGCCTTAATCCCCACCCCACCCCTAGAAGCAGCAGCGGGAACTTCCCAGTCTGCCAGCAGCAGAGCCTCAGGTCCCAAGACACTGGCCTGGAGACCCAGGTCACAGGCCCCCTGAAGGCCCGGCTCTCCCTCCACTCACTGCTCAGCAGGCTGGCAGCCTCTGCTCTCTCTCTCTCTGGCTCCGTGTCAACCTCCTTGGGGCAGAGGCTATGGCTGACACCAGGGTGCACTCCCCTGGGATGCTGAGACAGCGGTCAAAACAGCAGACCCTCATTCTCCCACATGCAGGGGGCAGAAGTCCAAGATCAAGGTATCTCTGGCTTCCTTCTTGCCTCTGAGGGAGGGTCTGTTCCTGCCTCTCTTCCCACCTTCAGGTGACTGTGAGCTCTGCCTCCGTCTCCATGTGGCATCTTCCCCAAGTGTCTGAGACCCCTTGCTCCTGCCTTGTTGTCTTTTCATTGTTGTGATCTGGGTGAAAGTTTGCAGAGCAGATTGGTTTTCCACTGAACAGTTCACCCCTCCCTTGTTCCCTGCTTCTGTTCCCCCTTCTTTGCTGTCCCTTACTTCCTCCCCAGGGAAAGGCTGTCCTTTTGGTCTGGTACCGTTGACCACCCTAAGGTGTGTGTACCTCCCCGATATCAGTGGTCACCTGCTAGGTGTGTGCGTTTGGCTGGCAGCTGGCCCTCTCTTGTTTCTTACAAGGGAACTTGTCACTGAGTCCCGGGTGATCTCATCCTGAGACCCTTTACTCAGCCGCATTTGGAAGTTACTAGAGGACATAAATCTGGGGGGAGGTCACTATCACCCCACTATATCCTCAACAGAGAAAAGGTGTATCCCGACTTGATAGGTGACAGAGCCCACATCACTGCAGGTCTGCATTCCCTGACCCAGGGACATGCCCCACCCGCCTGCCCAGCCCCCAGCACTGACCATTGTCCTCTTCCCACAGCAGGGGGCCTGGCCTCCGCGCTGGCCGACTACCAGGGCTCTGGACCTGAAGAGATGACCTTCCGAGAGGGTGACCTCATCCAGATCCTCGGTGCACACATGCCCAGCCTGCCCTGGTGTCTGGGCCGGCATGAGGCCTCAGGCCAAGTAGGCTTTGTTCGGACGAGGCTCATCAGCCTGCAGGACCAGCCTGGGTGAGTGGGACTCCTGCATCACACCTGTGTCTCCACCTGGGGTGGGGGTGGGGGTTGGACCATACCAGCTTTGTGCCAAGCTGGGGTTCCATGGCATGCTCTTTTGGGACCCTTGGTCTAGATGATTCCTGTCATCTCAGAGAGGGAGGTGGGCAGTCACCACAGGTGGGTGAGTGTCTGTGTGACTTGAATGAATGTCCCTGAAATGGCCAAGATCTGAGCTATAAGATCCTGCGGAGATGAGCTAGCTTGTTCCCCTTCCTTAACCCGGAAGGCCGTTGGGGCCAGGTGCCATTTGTTGGCCCTGTTTACATATAAGTGTATTCTGAGTTGTTGTTGGTTAGTGCCATCAAGTTGGTTCCAACTCATAGTGACCCTATTTAGTTCCTGAGCGGCTGGTGCTTTTGAACCACCAATGTTGTAGTTAGCAGGCCAGTGTTGATCCTACAGCCCCACACCAGCGACCAGAAGTCCATTCCTTTGTTGTTGTTGTTAAGTGCTGTCAAGTCGATTCCAACCCATAGTGACCCTATATAGGGTTTCCAAGAGCAGCTGGTGAACTTGAACTACCGACCTTGAAGTTCAAACAACTTTGCAGTCTGATGCATTAGCCCACAGCTAATTCCAGACGGTCAATAAATATTTAATGAATGCCTTTCTTGTTTCAAACTCCTATTTAACTAGCATCTTTCCTATTTTCTTCTTTCTGTTTAATGAACAGCCTGGTAGCTTTTCCTTTTAACTTTATCTTGATATCATTTGAGGCTTATGAAAAAGTTAGAAGACTAGTACAGAATTCTCGTATACTCACATTCCTCAAACGCGAACACTTTCATCACATTTGCTTTATTCTCTTTTCTCTTTCACTTGTATTTATTTTAAACCCTTTGAAAGTAAAGTTGCAAACAGAAACCTCTTTATCCATTTCCCACTCAGCCCCAAGTAACGCATTTGCTTTAAAAAAAAAAAAAAAAAAGTATATTATTTTATGTTGCTATTCTCATTACATGCCATGGACTCGGTTCCAACCCATAGCGATCCTGTACAGGGTTTCCGAGGCCGTAAATCTTTACAGGAGCAGAAAGCCTCCTCTTTCTCCCACGGAACAGCTGGTAGTTTCGAACTGCTGACCTTGCTGGTTCGCAGACCGATTCATAACCACTAAGCTACCAGAGCTCCTTATTGTTTTATGTAGCCAGAGGGAAACTGTCAAATCACAAAGTTAACATAGATGCAACACTTTAATCTCACCTCCAGCCCCAGGTTAAGAACTTGGGTACTGACTGAAAATTTGGAGGTTCAAATCTTCCCAGAGACACCTCAGAAAAAAGGCCTGGCCATTTGCTTTCGAAAGTTCACAACCGTGAAAGCCCTGTGGAGCAGTTCTGCTCTGCTCACGTGGTGTCCCCGTGAGTCGTGATTTGTTGTTGCCTTTGTTTTGGGGATTGCCTGATTGGCAGACCTCTCTCAAAGTCTGATAGTTGTCCCATCGCTGTCCTAGTAAACAAAGCACATCCCAGCTCACACACTGCATTCTGTTGCCATGCCTCCCTTACTTCCTGTCATCTGGAACGTTCCTCAGCCCTTGCTGGTCTCTTCTGACACTTCGGCTTGTAAAGAATTCAGGGCTGTCTTGTTTTGTAGGATGCCCCGTAAGCTATTCTGAGGGCACAGTTTTCTTTAACCTCCCCAAATGGCTCACTCTAAATTCCAAAGTGCATTTCATGGTTTCGTTTTACACTGTTGACTAAGCCATAGAAGCAAAACTCACCTCCCCCTACCCTTGCTTCTTCTTACATTTTCTCTCTTTTCTTCACTCCATCGACCTCGGCATTATGAGAGCCCGGTGTCTGTGCTGGGCTATAGGAGGCACCAGAAGAGCTTATGTGAGGAGCTATGAGGGCTCCAGGTATAGCAGGATCCATTCTCCCTCATAGGGAAGGGGCATAGGAGGCAGGGCTTTGAAGGCTGTGTAGGAGTTCACCAGCCCAGGAAGCTGTGGCCCACTGCTTCTCTCCCAGCCTCCCCTGTTCCTTGGTATCTGCTTTTGTTATCAGAGGTACCTTTTGAAGGCTCTATTTCATCCTTATTGTCCTATTGGAGGTCAGGGGAAGGGGATGGCAGAATCGGTTCTGACGTGAGGCCTTAACTTGAGACATGTGCTAGCCTACATGAGGCACTTGATTTTGTCCAGGTTGGAAAATATAATCTTTCTCAACGAGGATGAAAGGTCACTCTTCAGCAGTGAAGGACACTTCTCAGAGGAGGATGCCAGGCAGTTACTACAGAGGATATCCGAGCCAGATGCCTGCACCGTGTACAGCTTGGGTAGGTGTGGCTCGGCCATGTAGTGGGTGTCTGCCTGCGGCTGGTGATGGCCAGCAGCCAGTCAGTTAGGGCCATTTCTGTAAGACAATCACGGGGGGTGAGGGGGGAGCCCTCCTAATTGTTGCAGGATGTCCTGCCCCACACCACCTCCCCTCTGGGCTTTGTATTATTGTCGAATGCCTTTTGTGGTGAGCACACACACGATGTGCAATTCCATATGTGCTGATTCTTTAAGGTGTTCAGCCCTTCTTCCTATCAATCTTTCCCAAATCACTCACCACGTGACCATAAACATATACACTGGAAAAAAGTTCTCCCCTTCCCTTCCTCTCACAACCACTGGGGTCCTGGTGTGGCGCTGTAGGATAAGCACTAGATTGCTAATCACAAAGTCAGTGGTTCGAGCCCACCTGTCGCTCCTTGGAAACCCTATATAGGGTCACAATGAGTTGGAACTGACAGCGCTTAACAACAACAACGCATAACCACTAACAAGTTGTTGTGTGTTGTGTTTTCTTATTTTATGAGAGATTTTGGTGTGTGTGTGTGTGTGTGTGTGTGTGTGAGTCTGATGTTGTCATGATCTTTTCATGGCTCATCCATGTGACGTCTTCAGGACTTCACTGTCCTTCTTGACTGAGCTACACAGTAAACCCAATGCCACCAAGTCGATTCCAAGTCATAAACACCCTAGGTCATGGTTCCCGAGATGGACACTCTACAGGAGCCAACAACCTCCTCGTTTTCCCACAGAGCGGCTGGTGCATTTGAACTGCCAACCTTGTGGTCAGCAGTGCAATGTGTAACCCACAGCAACACCAGGATTCCTTTCCATAGTGTGTTTGGACCTCGTTCTGTGTGTCCACTCTTCTGTTGGGGGCCCCTTGGGCTGCTTCCCCTCATGGTCTTGTGGTCAGTGCGTCAATGGGCCAGCTGTGCTGGTCACCATAAACAGATGTTGTCTGTCTTCCTGCTTTCATGTCTCCGGGGCATCCCCAGGAGTAGAACTGCTGGTCCACATGGTGGTTCTCTGTTCGGGTTTTAAAGGAGCCGCCATACTGTTTTCCACACTGCTTTACACCCCCACCAGCTGTGAGGAGGGCTCTACGCGGAGTTTTTAGCACGTTACCATCTGGGCATAAAGATGTTGCTCATCTCTGGCATCTGGCCACTTCCTCAGCAGCCCTTCCTTCCTCTTTCGGGATGTGCTGCCTCATTTCTTCAAGGACAAATAGTGAACCAGCTCCCAGGCACTCAGACTGATGTGCTCCCTGCCCGTGGGGCAGGACGGGGACAGGCCATCAGGACACAGATCCTGGAGTGAGCCCAGAGCCCAGAGTGCTGATGTCCAAGAGCAGCCGCACCAAGCAGGCCCTTTCTTGCTACCTCAGGCCCCGACGGAGGTAGCCTGAAGCCCTGCTGGCCTGATTGGGCCTGGCTGAACCCATCCTGAGATCAGGAAACTGGGGCTCATTCTGGCTCTGTCCTGGGCTGCCCGGCTGTGGACTAGAGCCAGGCTGGACCCTCAGACTGCACCCTGTACACCCAGAGGAGTCCCTGCTTTGCCTCTGGGTTTAGCTACTCTGATGGCTGCAAATTACACATGAAGAGGCTGTGTAGGTGCCACCCAGCAATGAGGAAGAGGTCGGCAGAGGGTGGGTGCCCAGATCAACTCTTTACCCTGCTGGGAGTATGCATATATGTACACCCAGACTTGTACACGTGTGGTGCACATGCACACCAATGCATGCACATATAAAGGACGTGTGACATACAGGCACATACCTAACACACACCACTTATACACATACAACACATGCTAACATACAAGATGTGTGTGCTCACACCAACAGCACATGGCATGAGCACATGTACACACTGCATGGGCACACCCACACATGTATACACACATGCATGCACAAATGCATTTCATACACATGAGTATATACACACATGGGCAGACATGCACACATGTGCATTTCACACATGGGTGTACACACATGCGAGTGTACATACACATGCATTTCACACACGCGAGTGTACACAAGCACACATACACACATGCATGGGTTCACACATAAGTACATACACAGAAACATGCACACATTCATTTCACACACACAAGTATATACACACATACATGGAATGCAGACATGTGAGGAGTATACACGCACATGCATTTTATATACATGAGTGTGCACACATATACCTTCACATATTTACATATATGCATACACACAAATGTATGCATAAACACACTCGTATGCACCCACACATATGATTGTATTCACACACATATGTGCATACATGAGCATGCACAAACACGTGTGTGCTGCATTGGTTCTGCAGTTGGTTGCTGTGCATCATAAGACAACTCCTCCACCATTATGAGAGCCCAGTGGGCAGTGACTTTGGCGGGAGCGCCTGAGTCCTGGGAAGCTGAGCCGGCCCCCCCTTCAGTCGGGGCTGCCTCTACACCTGGCGCTGCAATGATCACCGCTTGTGTCCCACAGCACAGAGCACGTCTAGGGCAGCCAAGGAAAAGTTAATGTCAGCCCATTTTAAGGAGGTGGAAACTGAGGCCAGGCAGGGAATGTGTCTGCTTAGGGGATGAGGTGGGCTGGGCTGCATGGTGGAGCAGGCGGGTGTCACACCAAGCTTGGTGACCACCCTCAGTGGCATCTCTTGTGCAGGATGATCTGCTCAGATGGGGACAGACTTCATGCCCTGTCCGGGGTCTGGAGAAACTGGACAATATCACCCTGGCCACCTTGTCCAGGTCCCCTTGTCGCCCTGACCAGGGACACAGGGTGCTGACTGCTCCTTTCTCCCTTCCAGACTCACTGGAGGAACCCACGTGTGAGCAGCCAGGGGAGCAAGGTAGGTTCTGCCCACACTGCACGAGGCTGGGCCCACAGCTGGGTATGGCCGGTGGGGAGGACAGTCTCGCACTGGTGGGGAGATGTAATGACAGGGTGTGAAGGCCCCCCATCCCTGCAGCAATGGGGCCCACCTGGACCCTTTTCCAACACACCTGCCAGCCCCTCATGTCACCCCTCTCAGGCCGGGGAGGGGATCCCCAGGCTTGCCCGAAATCCTTTCCCAAAATCTCCCAGTCACCATTGAGTTGCCCCACCTCCTGGCACCCCCACATAGGTCAAAGTAGAGCTGTGCTCCATCAGGTTCCAATGGCAGCCAGGCCTTTCTTCTGATGTCCCTCTGGGGGGACTTGAAGCACTCACCTTTCCATCAACATGTGGGGAGTATTTTCAATAGCCTCATATGCATACGGGAGAGTTGGACCGTGAATAAGGAAGACTGTAGAAGACTTGATGCATTTGAGTTATGGTGTTGTATGGAAAAGAATATTAAAGGCAACACAGGCTGCCAGAGAACAAACCAACTGTGTTAGAAGAAGTACAGCTAGAATGCTCCTTAGAAGTCAGGCTGGCCAGACTTCATCTCTTGTACTTTGGACATGTTATCAGGAGGGACCAGTCCCTGAAGAAGGACTTCATGCTCAGTAAAGTGGATGGTCAGTGTCAAAGAAGATGATACTATGAGATGGATTGGCAAAGTGGCAGCTCATGCTTACCAGCCATTGTTAGGATGCCTCAGGACCGGGCATGGTTTTGTTCTCCTGTGCATAGGGTCCCTATGAGTAGGAACTCACTCAATGGCATCTAATAGCAAGAGCAGACCAGCTGAGACATCTCCCTGGAGGGACGGGGACGACCACATCTCCCTCAGGAACAGTGAACTTTGGAAGCCCTTCCACCCCCCTTCCCTCCACACATCCACCTCAACCCCTACCCACATACACACACACACACTTGCACACGATGTTGGCATGAGGAGGCTCCTGGGGAGGTGAAATGCCCGGAGACCCGCCTGAGCACAAACCCAGCGGGCCGTATGGCGACGTGGAGAGGATGGCCCAGAGTGGTACCCCACAGCCTTGGCTGCAGGAAGGTACCCCACTCCGCTGCATCCCTGAGAGCAGACTCAGGATAGCCCAGCTGTCAGGAGCCAGGGAACATTCTGGAAGCATACCTACATGCACCCATTTGTGGCTGTAGTGCATGAACTGCACTCAACTTGATATTTACCCCTAAACCAAATTTGATTTTCATCCCAAACTCTGTATATACATGTCCATCAGCAACATTTCCTCTTCCTAGGACTCTGAGGGCACAGTGGGTGGTGTTGGTCTGTTAACTGAAAGGTCAGCAGTTTGAATCCACCAACCGCTCCTCAGGGGAAGGATGAGACCGTCAGCTCCCAGAAAGATTTACGGTCTTGGAAATCCTGGGGGTAAGGGTCAGGGCAGTTCTACTCTGACCTAAAGAGGTCGCTATGATTCAGAATTAACCCGACACCATGGGCTTGGAGACTGGAGTAATGATTCTTCTTAAGGTCCCTAAGTGGTTGAAATGGTTAACATCCTTAGCTGCTGCTAACTAGAATGTGGACTGTTCAAACCTACCTAAGAGAAAATAGTGACCTAAAATAAAAAACCATCCACTGAGAACCCTGTGAAGCTCAGTTCTACTCTAATACACATAGGGACACCATGAGTGGGATCTACTTATAAAAAATCATCCACTGAGAACCCTGTGGAGCACAGTTCTACTCTGACACACATGGGGCCACCATGAGTGGGATCTCCTTATGAAAAATCATCCACTGAGAACCCTGTGGGCATAGTTCTACTCTGACACACACAGGGTACCATGAGTGGGATCTACTTATGAAAAATCATC